AAAAAAAAAAAAAAAAAAAAAGTCAAGGGTAGCTGCCTGATCCATACCTGATTAACCTCACTACTCCCATCTGCTTTAATATCAAGAACTCAAGATGAAAGTATATATTTGGTACAAAAACAACAGGAAAAGGCAAATGGGAATAGCTACCATGTGTCCCTCTTGGAGGGAAAACAGGCTCGCAGCATAAAATGCAGTATGGGGTTAAAGGATTACAGAGACTTCAGCAAGGAGTCTTTAGCTGCAGAAAGTACCCCAGTCACTCTTCATAAATTGGACCTGCAGGACCCAACAAGAGCATCTGTCTCAGAACTCAACTCAGAGGTGCCTCTCTCCAGAGACTTCCACTGCACAGCGTGGAGCACCAAGACCACACACCACAATACCAGATTCACCTAGGAAGGGTTCTGTGGGGAACAACAGGAATGTGAGGAATGGGTCCATCACAGATGTCCTTCCATCCACACCAGTCTATGAGACAAGCCTCTGCACTCTCAGCCGTCCCTGGTGGGCCAAACCACTAGTACAGTAGTTGAGTGCCCTTACAGCTACAGACAAACTTATCGGATCTTTATCCCTGCATCTCACTTCAGCGTTGTGTAGGCTGGAATAAAACTGCAGAGGAGTTCCAAGAGGTGCCATGAAATTTTCTGAGCTTCATAGCAGCTATGAGGTCAAAGAGATAGGTGTGAGAAATGCGATGGTAGAAATACGTCCTAAGCATATGTCCAGATGTCCTTTGAGACAAGGACAACAGGTGGGGATAAAATGGGAGGTTCCAGGACCCACTTAGCCAAGGGAAGGTAGCACCAGTCAGTGTCCCACCCTTTCCCATTACCTAATGGTTCTGTTCAAGGGGATGATGGAATTGCAGAGAGAAATGGTACCTATCAAGGGATACAGGCAGGTAATACCAATAAGGTGGCTATTGCTGAGATGACCAGCGCAATACAGAGTCCTATAGGACCTCAGAAAGGAAAAACAAACTCGGGGTTGAGATGGGCCTCGTCCCAACTCAGCCCCAATCCTTCAGGTGGGCCACTTCACCTGTGGGAACCCTCAGTGCTGCTGCAACAGACAGAGAAGAGCAGAAACAGGAAGCAGTAGAGGGCCAGAAAGCCAGATGTCCCAGTCAAAAAGTAGCGGAGTGATAGGACAGAGAGAGAGGATAAAGCCAAGGAAGAGTCACTCAGGGTGGCCACACGTACAAGAGACAGCCGCCCCTGAAGGAACCCTGTGGAGAGAAGCTGCAGTCCTGTTTCAGGTTACTGCCATGGGATGCAGATTCCTGGCAAGTGGTGTTAGGGGATCATCTGGACCAGACCCTGCTCCGAGTTAGGAAAGTGTATTTTCAGTTCCTGATTCTGGGACAGGAAGGCTGAGGGAGGGGCCTTCTGGGTAAATCCAAACTGCAGTGGCCAGATCAGTAAATAGGCAGTTGCTATACAGAATACAAGGCCTTTCAGAGGAGTCTGATAAGTTACGATGTCAGCTCTGCAGACATCCCAGGGTATACCCAGAAGTCAAGTATTCTTAAATTATCTCCAATGTCTTCAGACGTTTAAATCTATAAACGCACTAATGTCTGCTTTATGAATACACCTATCTTTATTGACAGAATTACCTGGCAGGAGAAAGCATTCAGTTTGCCCAACTGTCTTCTGTATCAGTGTTCTGTCATTAAACACACTGGAATCACGTCGATCATCTCCACTGCACTGTGCTTTATCTCCTGACAAAGCCAAAGTGGTTCCCTATTGAAGAACTGCACAGGGTGCTTCCTGCAGCACTGCGAGGAGGAGCCCCCCGCGGCCCACCTTCACGATGTCCCATCCCTACAGCCGCACCTGGGTCCACGTTAGCGCCGCACAGGAATGCGGCAGCCGGTAGTAGTACTAGTTCTAGGAACTGCAGACAGGACCGCGCCCTGGCTCACAAGCACCAGAAGCGGCGCCGTGGGGTAACCGCCCGCGTGCACTTCCGGAACGATGTGGCGTCATTTCCGGGCGCCCAGCGTACAGCCCGTCTCCGGCCGCAGAGGCGGCTCCGCCTTAGAGAGGTAGGTACAAGGAATAGTCCGAGAGGGCCCAACGGCGAGCCGGGCGGCTGGTACGGCCAATCATGGGCAGTTTCTGGACGTAACGCGAGGCCGGGCTGGGACCGTGCGGCGCGGGGAA